CGTCTAAATGACAGTGCTACCGTCCGGACAGTCCACGAGTCGGTTGGACTGCTACACCTGTTGACCTTTTTTTTTTTGCTTCTACGATTCACGATACATTCGCAATCGTGTATGCCACTAATGTCAAACGGGACTATTTTGTACGGGTAACTACACCACCACCGCATTTTTTATTAATTTTTTTTTCACACAACTGAATTTTGATCTTTTAAATTGAAATACCTGATTAAAGGGTGGCCGAAATTTTTCTCCGCCCCGGGCGGCTAACACCCACGGTACGCCACTGCGCATCTGAACTCGTCTATCAAAAAATTGGCGCATGGTATGCAAAAGGTTGGCCACCCCTGATCTAGAGATATGACATGTCACGGGGTACAATCTAGAGATATGACATGTCACGGGGTACGCTAATGAAAAAAGGTTGGGAACCACTGCTATAAATTATCATTATTAACTATTTTTTATTTACTACATGATAAGTGCTCATTGTTAATGAAAAAGTATTAAAAATTTATGATGATAATTCAGTTTTTGTGGGCTCTTGACACTTGGGGGCCCAGGTTGGTTGGCTGATGTTTTATGGCGCAGGGACCACATAGGCCAAGCTGCGCCATAATGGGAGTCCAGGACTTAAGCCCTATTAATCCCTATGTAAATCTGCCCCTGCTTCTTAGGTAATTATCAAAAGTAAAAACATAATTCTAACTATAAATATATCTGCTTTGATGGACTATATGTAAACAGTTACACAACTTTCAACTACTTTCCAGTTATTTCATTCGTCTTTGGGAAAGTCGAACAAGAACACATTGCTTTGAAAACCTTATAGAATGTTTGGGTAAGTTCAATTAAATGCAAAATAACAAAATAAAAATGATATAATGTGAGATTATTAACAGTACATTTATAAAGTACTTATTTAAGTTTCTACAATTCTCTGATGCTATGTGCTGTTATCCTAATATACTCTGAAGAGGATCCATCTTTTCCATCACAAATTGGAATTCTGTAGACTCTACTCATATCTAAGAGTATTCTCTTTATTGTTTCATAAGGTGTTAAAAATGAAGTGCTCCATTTCCACTGTTACTGTTATATTTTTTGTGACTCTTTGTAGTCATTTTACAAGTAGATTTTCCAAGAAGAGTAAATCTCAGATTTGGTTTATTGGTGGGCCTGCAGTAAATATATTTTTAGATGTCCTAGCTTTAATCCACAACCAGAAGGTATACCATGTGTATACTGTGTTTACAGAGTTAAATTTTTCTCTCACAGAATACCATTTCTTCTCACAGTATACCTTCTGGTATACTGTGTTTTCAGAGTTAAATTTTTCTCAATTCTGATTTGAAAGTATTCCAGGTAGAGCAGAGGTACTCAATATGTGGTCCACAGATCAGTGCTGGTCCATGAACAGTTTATCACTGGATCATCACAAGATTTCATTTCAAATTTCATAATTTTATTATGTTAATAAAACTATTTTAAAAACATGTTATTTTACTACTTTTATTTTTTTTATTGTTTAAATACTTAGTACCAGATATGGACTGACAAAATTGGCCCAGGAAATTACTTAAAAACAACCCACAAACTCATTTTTTCAAAATTATTAGAACTGAATTTGTTATTGCATTTTTCTTATTAACTTAGTCTAAAAATAAAAATAAATTTTAAAAAATGCATTTGAACTCTGTTCTCTCCATTTTATAATTAATTCCACAAAAATACTGGTCTGTGAGAGACTGGAATGAAATAAAAACTGATCCATAAAGACAAAGTTTGAGAAGCACTGAGGTAGAACAATGTAGGAGGAAAGTGCTGTCTATTAACATCAGGATAACCATTTTTTTGTGGTTAACCATGTCAATGAAGCAGGTGCACCCATACATTGGGACAAGTGCTCTCCCTTTTCAGTGGGTTGCCTTTATTAATCCCCAAGAGAGCTCTAACGTTTCATTTTTTAAAAATTAGTTAAAATTAGTTACTCATTTTTATCGTAGAATACTTTTTTACAGACGATGAAATAAAAATAAAAATATTATTAACCAAAAATTTGTTACAGCGGGTGGTGATTGTTCTGTCAAGTACTGAGATACCACTGTATTTCAGTAACTCAATTTTGATATACACGATAGCATCGAGGGATTAATTAACTGCATTAATCAAGGGATACTTGTGTATACACACATATATATATATATATAAAACCTTTTTATAGCTTGTGCTCCCCTTTTTTATAGTCTGTGGGCACTGCTGTTCCACTGGGTGTAGATGTTTGGAAAGTTGTGCTTCTATATACAGTGGTTACATATTTATGCGGTCCTTTAGTGATCAAACTACTATTTTCTCAACACATTGAGAAAACTGTTAAATCAATTATTCCATGTGGATGAGCAAAATAACTCTAGCCTAAAGTACTTCAAAGCTGTATAACTGTTGTTTACATATATTCCATATACATATAAAGCATTTCTCTTCTACTTTTAAGTCTGTAAGCAGTAGAAAATATTTTGATTTCTACCGATTAGAGACTTGAAAGTAAAAGATAGAGCAAGAATATTAATATTAATTTGATATAATCTGTGTAATATACAGTAGATCAGTCAATATCAGTCTTTTAGATTATACTTTTGGCTTTCTGTAATAATAAAAAAATCTTTCTTGTAAAACATAATAATTAGTTAAGGAACTCAGTTTATTCTTAGTAAATTAACACCATTAAGCACTTTTGAATGTTTGAAAAAAAAACAAAATGTCTTAGTCAGGAATAGATTTTAGAACAGCTTCAATTGAAATTCTTACATTTCAAATAAATGATTAAAATAACAACCAATCATAAAAGGAAAACTAGTTGTTTACATGCCAAACAAATTGAGGGATTATATTGGTCTATGATATGGCTACTATTTAATTATTAAATACTACATAATTTTGCATAGATGGCGATTATTTCAGCCATACCCTAGCCCGATAAATGCCAAACAAACTACTGGATTATATCAAATAATCAGGTTACTGGTTGTTTATTTAATCTTGCTTGTGAAATTTGCAGAATATGAGAATTTAAATTGAAATTGTTCTAAATATGTTGTACATTCCAAAATCCATTCCTGATGAAGACATTTTGTGTATGTCAAAAATGTTTGAGTTGTTTATTAATACTTAATCAGTAGCAGGATCTAGAAATCTTTAGAAGTGCTGCATAAATAGAACAATAGGCTTTAGAAAAGATTTTACTACCTGAGATACCTGCCAGTCTTACTTGGGAAAAAATCCCCTGCTGTGCCCCACATATTTCCCTAAATCTGCCTTGTTCTTAATAAATTAATGCCATCAAACTGAATTTCTTAACTAATTAAATTTATACTGATGTACACCATTGTTATTTTGCTATCCTGTAAATATATAAATTAAAGGCAGCTCAACTCTAGAAATTAAAAACAATATTAAAAATTCACACCCTGGATCTTTTTTCTTTTATATTTAATAAAACAGAAGAAAGATAGTAATTAGTTTATCAGCAAAAAGAAAAAGAATAAAGCAGATAACAATTTATATAAACTTCTGTTAATTTTATTTTAATCAAATTATCAGATTTGATAAACTTTATATCCAAAAATTCAATTAATAAGCAAAATATAATTCATTAGTTGCAATTTTATTAGTAATCTACATTTAGATGAAGTCAAATTATAACAAAAATATTAAACTTTATTATCATGCTAAAAATATTCTAATAAAATCCATCAAATAAATAAAGAAAAAAGTTAATCCATAAAAATGTTCATTGTTAAATTCATTAAATCATAAGAATTATCATCATCACGTCCTTTAAATTTAATCTTTTAATTGATGCTGATAAAAACATATCACACAAATACAAGGCTACAAAGAACTAAATAACCAGCAAAAAAATTGGGAAGTGCTAACACTTTTGCCTATTCAACTCAAGCAAAAGTGTTTGCACTTCCCAATTTTTTTACTGGTTATTTAGTTCTTTATACCTTTGTATCAAGTTTACCCAGTTTGAATAATTGTATTTTATATCACACAAATATTACTATCTGAAACTCTGAAGATATAAAATTTATATATAATTTAAATTTAATTTTAAAACATAAATAGAGAATTATGAACATTGTATATGTTCTATTCAATTTAAATGCTTGTATGTTCGATGACCATTATGTATTCTACAACTGACGAAAGTCCATCAGCTTGATCGAAAATGTTCTTGTTCATTAAATATTAATTACTGGAGTAATTTAAGGTGCAAGTTTTTTATTTTGACATTTTTCCTCTATCTTCTTGATAATTTCTTTATAATTTAGGTATGTGGATATCATGTTTACTAACAGTCTGATTTGCTTGATCTGTGATTCTAAATATGCAATTATATAGATATGCTTACCTTTAAATGAATATTTTTACAGCTATTTTCAGTAAACATATAATCCATTTAGAATATTTGATTATTCAGTGATTGGAAACAATATTTGAAATAAATTAATAGTTTGTTTATAGATCACGATACTTCATTGTTATGCCTTATTTAATTTTTTTTTTTATCATCTCTATAATCTCAAAAATAGTTTTTAATGACAAATTTTAAAATTATACTTACTTTAATGTTTTGCTTGGAAATTATGTCAAAAGAGCCTGACGAGTTAATTATTTCTTTTGACTCCAACACAAATAGAAAAAGCCTTCTTTGCAATGAAAAGTACTAAAAATAAAAAATAGATTTTTCTATTATATTTATATTGTAGTATATTAATGTCTTTATTTTAAATGTAACTTTAATGGTCCACAATATATTCCAATATTCAAACATCTTAGTTCAGATTAACTATTACTAAATTTTAAGCAATCCTCATGCAATGTTTCTTGGTTAACAATTAGCATTGAATAACTTTTCAAAAATATAGTATGGGATTCACAATACATAATCCAATAAGACTAATTCATTTTGCACTTTTATGGTTGCAATCTAAAGTGTTAAGTTACACCTGTTATTAAGGTATAGAATTCATGTTGTCCTGTGACTTTGGATTCATTTATTTAAGTGCCTATACAAAAAAGTATAATTCTGTTTAGAGAACATAAATTAATTCTTGTGGAAAAGTGATGTCAGCTGCAAGATTATGCATTTAGGTTGCCATATCAATTGTTCACTTGAAGTAAATTCAGACTAATGGTATATATAGAACTAATACTGGATAAAACTAAAGTATAACCAAAAATCCAGCAAAAGAAATGTAAAATTTAATGATAAACTAAGGTTTTTGACAGCTTTTAGCAATCATCATCAAATTATAAACCATTCTAAAACAGAACATACAAATCAAACAAGAAAATTTTTAAAAACAAGGTAGCATCTGATTGGTTAGTGGAGCAAATAATATTTTTCTTATATAATTTAAAAAATTCTCATATATTTATACTATTCCATAGAAACAGTGCCCAGGGTCTGGTCTGAGCCCTCTTATGTTGTGGGCCCTTAAACTTAACTGTGCTTAATAATAGTTATGCCACTGATTAAACCCCAAGACTTCCCCTAATTCTATCTTCCAGGTCATGGCCTTGAAGATAAGAATTAGTTAAGAAATGAATTTTTGGGAATGAAGGTCAATTCTTAGATAATTCTCTTTTTAAACCTTTGGTGATAGTTCAAAGAAAGATTCAACTAAATGAATAGTAAGTCAAATTGTCTCCTAAAGAGAATGTTTATTGGGCTACAATTTTCAAAAATCTCAGACCTATAAATTCCCTCTGGCATCTGTCTGTTCTTCTTTAATCTTGAGAATGGAATCAGATAGATGAAAGTCAAGACCAGATATGGAAAGAGTGGGGGCAGGAGATTCCAATTACCCAATAAAATCTTCCAATTTGGACCAGAAGTTATGCTATTTCAATTAAAAAATTTTCTCCTGAACAGAGTTAAATATATAACTAGCATGACTCAATTGTTAACAGGAAAAGTATGATGTACAGGGGCACAACACTACTAAAATTGAGAGCATTGTGATGAAAAATTGAAGCCTGGCAATGTGACGATGTCATAATAAATAATTGCTCATTTACAAGAGGAATCTGAATGGAGATTAAAGAAAGTCATGAGTTGAAGAAACAGTCATCATGAAACTGTTTTGTGAGGAGTTGTCACTGCCCTATGTTGCTATGTGAAAAAGTTGTCACTTATTATTACAACCTGTCTAGTTTTCACCTGGACAGTCCAGGAATCGATTCACTGTCCGGGTGAACTACTAATTTTGTCTGGAAATATCGTGCGCAACCTGTCAACCTTTTTTTTTTTTTTTTTGTATGATTCATATTCGTAAACGTCTCCAATATCCAACAGAGCTAAGTCATCTGTAGTTGTTTTTCTTAATTTAGGTTACTTACGTTACTCCTATCCAAATCTCCCTAGTCCCTAACTGTAACTAATTTAGAACCGGCATGCACTGCACATTATTCTTTGCATTGCAAAATGACATTGCACATGCATTGGGAACTTCTGTTCGAACAAACCTCACCTGCCGTCCGGGTCAGCGATTTTGAAAAGGTGGCAACACTAGTTGTCACTGGTTTAAGTATTCTCATATATCTCCTTAACTTCATACCTTGTTGGAACTAAGTATTTCACGAGTTTTATGTATTAGCTGCTTCAAAAACCAAGACACTTTTCTGAAATTCTGAGAGAACTAGGATAGTCATCACATCTTTGATAATCTAGATACAAGCATATCTCACTGACGTAGCAGGTTAGGTTCCAGACTTTAGCCATAAAGCAAATGTTATCTTAAAGTGAAACAGCTTTTTTCATTTTCCAGTGCTTATAAAAGCTTATATACATATCTACATTTTAATTTATTAAGTACACAATAGCACTAGGTCTAAAACATAATGCAAAAGTAAAAATAAATAAAAAAAGAAACACCCAAAAACATTTTAAGAACAAGGCAAATGCTAGAAATAATAAATATAAATGAAAAATGTATTATTAGCAAAGCACTGTAGAATGAAACACCTTAAAGTGAGGTATGACTATATACTTGAGTACTCAGCCTAGACCAGCCAGGACAACAAAATTCTCTCTCTATAATGACAGGTTGTGTGCACATAAGTAAAATGACCATAACATGCAATAGTATAATTCATAAAACAAATTGGACAAAACAAATCTCTGATATTATAAACAAATGAAGTCTTGACTATGTTGACTCATAGTCTATTTCTTAGGCAGGGGTCTTGTTCATGGCTCAAGCTCAGTACCAGGTGAATTTTCTGGATCTGGCTCCAGCTCCAGTCAAACATTTAAATTTTTAAGTGCAATTGTTTGAGATAGGTGTACATTATTCAACCATTTTATTTTGTTAATTTATTTATAATTTATCACTTTGTATAAATTTTACATAAACAATACAAACAAATCTTTTTATCGCATATAACAATATGTAATTTCAGCATTATTCTCAAATATATTAAACTGTAATTAAAAGAAATTACAGAAAAGAGAATGAGATACCAATAAACAATTAACTAAAAGCTATTATTCATCAGTTATTTACTATCATTATGCCTGCATCCAATTAAAAAGTGGTCAGGTCATTTTTCAACGTAAACTCCCTTGAATGAGCCCATCAATGGCACTCATTTGTGTATTTCTGCAAATAGTGCAAAATGCCATTGTTGTAACATTTTGAGCTTCTTCATCTGTCTTCAAATGACAATCTTCAGGCATTTTTTTTTTTTCTTTTTCTTTTTCTTTGGAAACAAACTACAATGATTCTAAGTCAAGTGATATAATAATGTTTCCATACCAATTTGATCAATTACACACAAGTGCACAAGGTTAACTGCATGTATGCTCTGCACAATAGTTAATTAAACCTGTAATTTATCATTGTCCCACAAACTAAATGATGATCTTTAAATTTCTATTTACAAAATATACAAAAGTTTTTAAAACTAAATTAAATATACAATATTTTTAGAAAATGAATTCATTGAATTTTTATTTTTGAATAAACTATTAGAAAATAAATAAATATAAAATACTCATATTTTTGAAATAATTAATGTTAATAATAATATCATCCTAAAATTAACAAACTCTCACAATTTCACAATACTGAAAGAAGCATGTTCCACCAGTTAAACTAGTTTGGATCATCCCTCCAGGGGATGCCGGTTGTTGGTAAAGAATTTTAATAGAGGAGAAAACAAACTAGGAGTTAAAACCGCACATCCGTTATATTAATTTTTTAATGTAACTAATGTGCAACTATTTAATAAAAAAATGCAAAACCTATAGATAGAGTGAACATACAAGAAATTACAGTTATAAATATACTGGAAAAACAATTCAAAACAATAACATTCAGTCTATTATTAACACAATTAATTGTTGTTTCAAAACTAAATTAAATGGTGAAAACATTATAGAGCATGTTCTTGTATTAGCAAGAGATTTAATTTGTACAAGTATGATTAGCCAGTTTGTACTGTACATTTGGAATACTTTTTGAAAATTATCAATATTAGTAAAAGGAAAAGATATGATCTATGATTATTGACACTGGTAATTTCAATAATTTTTCAGCAATACCAAATAAATATAGTGTCTTTCTTTATCTTTTGTCTTAGGAAAAAAAATTCTGTATAATTCTATTCAGTTAGCCTTAAACCTGCCAATTTTGAAAATGTTGAAATAATTTTTTTTTATATTTCTAGGTAATCTTTGAAATAAAGCACTTAAATAAGTAAATAGCTTAAAAAAGTTTAATAATATCTTGAAAGATTAAATTTCAATATCCATTTTTGACTGACATTCTTTCAGAATATTCCTCTATCTAATGCTGCCTCTACTCATCATTCTTGTGTAAGCGTATCAAATATATTGTACACCCTTTGTCTTTTTCATTTTTGTTTCTTTCTTCCCTGTAAGCACTAAGAAAGCCTACTGTAGGTTCCACTAGGTTCACAAGAAGAAAAACTGGATAAGAGAGTCATGGTTGGAGTCCAGTAGCATAAGTAACAGGCCCACAATACTTATGGTGTGAGCCAGCTAAGAGGGGGCTCCCAATATCATATTCAGCAAAATTCCTGGAAAAAATCCCAGCAAAATTCTTGCAGGTTAGCCCAAGTCTTAACTCAATCATTGATGGGATTCAATGTATCCAATTCAACCCACCCATGAAAACTTTTGAGCCAACTTGGATTTGAATCTGTTCCTTAGAGTGGTAGGCTGATGCCTTTACTGCCTCATCCTGTCACTTTCATCATAGAATGTCAAAGTCCAGTACATCAAAAAGTTTAACTAATACCTAATACGATAAATACAAAACCTTCCTCACTTGTTTCTAGCCGTTTATTGCGGTGTATTGATCATCTTAAAATAGTTCTAGCTACAAATGCATAGAAGTGTAATACCTAATAATTGGATATACTCTTCATTAGAATTAATTGTAAAAATTGTTTTGACATGACTCCATCTGTCATACAAAAATTTAAAATATTAAATACTTGAGAAATTTTAGGAGTATTTTATTTACATAAAATATTTCTCAAGACCTTTATTGTCTCAGCTTTAGAACCTTATTACAGGCAGATCACAGGAGGGTTCTGAAGCAAGACAATAAAGATATCTAAAAAAAAACCTCTTAACTAAATAAAATACTCACTTCTAAAATTTTTCAAGTGTTTTTTTTTTATTTGGATTTGTTATATTAGGATTAAAATGCCCAAGCATAACACTAATTATAGACATTATATGTTTTTTTCTGTCATCTATTTACTCCTGTAAGAGATGAAATTTTTAATATTTACTAACAATTAATCTTAGTTATACATATTTTAATTTTTCAATATCTTTATGCTTTAGTTCTAAATTAAAAACAATTACATTTTAAAATAGAAAATAAAAAATATGTTAAATTAGTAAAATTTTTGCCAATATAATTAGCAAGTTTTATATCTATCTTGTTAAGTAACCAATTAGTTTTAGCTGTGAAGTTGTAACAAGGGTAAAAAAATAATTGTTGAGAATACAAGGAAGATCCTGCACACATGGTATCATATCATTAATCACGTAACTTTTGAAATCGTAACTCATTGTTGATTGGCTCGTAGAACAATTCACTTGATCCGTAATTCTAACGTCTGTGCCATGTTATATAATAACCAATGTAACTTCTGAACAGGTTTTTAATTAATGTTCATTAAAAAACAACTGCCAAAACGGGTTAACAACACTAATACCAATCAAATAACTCGAAGCAAAATACATTTTATTCAATTAAAACTTGTAAATACACGTGTAATTTTCCAGCTCTTAAAACTTTCGACCCAGTAATTCCCATTTCAAAGAATATTTGACAGTTACTTTTAGGCAAATTTTATATACTGTATGTAAGTATATACACATATCACGTAAATTTAAATTTCTCCCCCTTATTTTGCATCTAAACAGCTAATTTTCCAAAAGTCTTCCGGTGCGCGTTATACGCGATTTCATCTCAAAATTAAAGAAAAAAAATAAAAATCTAAATTTAATATTCTTGCAGAAATAATCAGATTCTTTCTATATTAAAAATACTTTTTTTTTTACTTACTTTCTTTTTTTTTCTTTATTTAAGAGCGGGACCGGAAGTAATAGCGAAACTACAAAAAGTCACCCCAAATTTTGATGTTTTTAACCGATAAACTCCCGCGAGAATAATCTAAAGCATTTCTAACCGTAAAAACAAAATGTAAACAATAAATACGAGTAAAAACCGCATTGTTTGTATACAAAAAAAACAACTAAAATTATTTAAGTTGCGATTATTACTTTTTTTTTACGGAAAATAAAATCGCGTTATACGGATAATTACCTTTACGCTCTTTTTTTTTTTTAAGCTTTCTTCGATATATATAAGTTACGAACGTTCGCACAGATAACAACCTTCTTCCTCCTCACTTGCCTCACTGACACTATACGTTGTGCAATCGCTTCTATATCCTTTTCTACTCATCTAAATTTAGCCTCGCCCGACCAATCCGGAAGGGTTATTTTCATTACTTCATCTACCAAATATGTTATTGGTCGTATCTACATAAACGTCATCGGTTTTTCCGAGTAAAGGTTGCCGCACTGGAACTATCGTTAGGAGTAAATCGACAAATAAACATTAAAAAAAAAAATAATTATAAAAAATTGTAATAAATGTGGGACAATCTTACAAATATAAATTTTAATCTTTATAAATTAATATATTTTATCGTTATTTTTAAATTATTTAATTTTGATTGTAAAGTTTAAATGATCTTAAAATTCTGGATCATCNGTGTGTACGTATTACTAAATTTTAAGCAATCCTCATGCAATGTTTCTTGGTTAACAATTAGCATTGAATAACTTTTCAAAAATATAGTATGGGATTCACAATACATAATCCAATAAGACTAATTCATTTTGCACTTTTATGGTTGCAATCTAAAGTGTTAAGTTACACCTGTTATTAAGGTATAGAATTCATGTTGTCCTGTGACTTTGGATTCATTTATTTAAGTGCCTATACAAAAAAGTATAATTCTGTTTAGAGAACATAAATTAATTCTTGTGGAAAAGTGATGTCAGCTGCAAGATTATGCATTTAGGTTGCCATATCAATTGTTCACTTGAAGTAAATTCAGACTAATGGTATATATAGAACTAATACTGGATAAAACTAAAGTATAACCAAAAATCCAGCAAAAGAAATGTAAAATTTAATGATAAACTAAGGTTTTTGACAGCTTTTAGCAATCATCATCAAATTAGAAACCATTCTAAAACAGAACATACAAATCAAACAAGAAAATTTTTAAAAACAAGGTAGCATCTGATTGGTTAGTGGAGCAAATAATATTTTTCTTATATAATTTAAAAAATTCTCATATATTTATACTATTCCATAGAAACAGTGCCCAGGGTCTGGTCTGAGCCCTCTTATGTTGTGGGCCCTTAAACTTAACTGTGCTTAATAATAGTTATGCCACTGATTAAACCCCAAGACTTCCCCTAATTCTATCTTCCAGGTCATGGCCTTGAAGATAAGAATTAGTTAAGAAATGAATTTTTGGGAATGAAGGTCAATTCTTAGATAATTCTCTTTTTAAACCTTTGGTGATAGTTCAAAGAAAGATTCAACTAAATGAATAGTAAGTCAAATTGTCTCCTAAAGAGAATGTTTATTGGGCTACAATTTTCAAAAATCTCAGACCTATAAATTCCCTCTGGCATCTGTCTGTTCTTCTTTAATCTTGAGAATGGAATCAGATAGATGAAAGTCAAGACCAGATATGGAAAGAGTGGGGGCAGGAGATTCCAATTACCCAATAAAATCTTCCAATTTGGACCAGAAGTTATGCTATTTCAATTAAAAAATTTTCTCCTGAACAGAGTTAAATATATAACTAGCATGACTCAATTGTTAACAGGAAAAGTATGATGTACAGGGGCACAACACTACTAAAATTGAGAGCATTGTGATGAAAAATTGAAGCCTGGCAATGTGACGATGTCATAATAAATAATTGCTCATTTACAAGAGGAATCTGAATGGAGATTAAAGAAAGTCATGAGTTGAAGAAACAGTCATCATGAAACTGTTTTGTGAAGAGTTCTCACTGCCCTATGTTGCTACGTGAAAAAGTTGTCACTGATTTAAATATTCTCATATATCTCCTTAACTTCATACCTTATTGGAACTAAGTATTTCATGAGTTTTTATGTATTAGCTGCTTCAAAAACCAAGACACTTTTCTGAAATCCTGAGAGAACTAGGACATTCATCACATCTTTGAAAATCTTGATACAAGCATATCTCACTGATGCAGGACCGGCCCAAGGCAAGTTTTAGGATGGAGCGAGATCCTATTATGGCACCCCCCTTGGTTGCCCCTAATTTATACTCTTTAATTTTCTTTACCACTGAGGTGCCCCCTAGGACTTAGCGCCTGGAGCAGCTGCTCCGTTCACCCTATGGTAGGGTTGGCTCTGCACTGATGTAGCAGATTAGGTTCTCAGACTTTAGACATAAAGCAAATGTCATCTTAAAGTGAAACAGCTTTTTTCATTTTCCAGTGCTTATAAAAGCTTATATACATATCTACATTTTAATTTATTAAGTACACAATAGCACTAGGTCTAAAACATAATGCAAAAGTAAAAATAAATAAAAAAAGAAACACCCAAAAACACTTTAAGAACAAGGCAAATGCTAGAAATAATAAATATAAATGAAAAATGTATTATTAGCAAAGCACTGTAGAATGAAATGCCTTAAAGTGAGGTATGACTATATACTTGAGTACTCAGCCTAGACCTGCCAGGACAACAAAATTCTCTCTATAATGACAGGTTGTGTGCACATAAGTAAAATGACCATAACATGCAATAGTATAATTCATAAAACAAATTGGACAAAACAAATCTCTGATATTATAAACAAATGAAGTCTTGACTATGTTGACCCATAGTCTATTTCTTAGGCAGGGGTCTTGTTCATGGCTCAAGCTCAGTACCAGGTGAATTTTCTGGATCTGACTCCATCTCCAGTCAAACATTTAATTTTTAAGTGCAATTGTTTGAGATAGATGTACATTATTCAACCATTTTATTTTGTTA